GCTAATGAGTTGAAGAGTTGGTATCCTCACTTTACGAGTATTTCAACTTCCTTCTGCTCCGAGCCTTCTCATCTTTCCCCTAGGGATATATTACTTGTTTTTCTTCTTTCGGAACAATATGTGGCTTTAACCTACCTTGACTTAAGATGAATGCAATAAAGTTTGCAAAATATCATTTTGAGGAAGTATGATGGGAACTTGATTTTGGAAATCGAAGCCTTGCATGAGGGAAGTGTGTGCAACTTTGAATAACACGATTTTTGTGTGGTCAAATGCCACATTGTTTAAATTTTTTTTTTTTAAGTCAAGCCATGATAATATCCATAAGCTCTCGCTCTCAATTTCACTCTCACTCAATCTTATGGGTGCTCCGAGTATACGACACTTCGGCTACTATCAAGATTCTGGTCACAATGTCGACGGTTAAATGTGCTCGAGGTAGAGACTGATCATAGAGAGAATGGGTGATCTTTGTATGGTCATGTGGTAAAATTTCTCGAATTGTCATGGAAGGAGCTCCTGTCTAGTATGACTCTAATGGTAAGAGGTCTCGTGTAAAGTTTTTTTGCTAAGAGATCTGGCTTGCCCCCAAAGTGCGACGTTAACTGAGGGATAAAAGAATGTACATTGATGAAGTCTCATTTTCCATGAAAATGGTGGTTCTTCTTGGATATATTTGTGGGTATATTTCGAAACATGTTGCCCCCAATGTCTTGGACTTTTGGTTTTAAGGGGTAAGCTTGAGTAGCAAAGTAACTGAGGTCATTTGAGTAGAAGTTTGATTATGAAAATATTCTCAATTGTTGAGGTCATGCTTTGACCTTATACGGAATGGATAAATGTGGTCTGGGTATGATGCAGGCTTCTACATCTCATTGGCGCACAGAATGATGAATGTTGAAGGCCTTTGTGTGGTGGTCATGAATATTGAAGTCTTCGTATCATGGTGGTTCTAATTTAGCTTGAAAGTGAGAATTGCAATGACGGATAACGAGGATAATCATGGGATGCACTTTAGCTTATGTGGACATTCTTTTCTTGGGAATCCTTCTCAACGGGGTTATCTTGTATTTTTCTTCAAACTTGGCAGCCATATACCCTTCCTTCGGTAAGGTGATTAATTTTATTACTAGCCCCGCAGGAGTGTATAGACAGGTTGATTGAGAGAATTACTGTACATCGCTCTTGTAATGACGTCGAAAGTATACATGGAATCAACCTTTTGGTCATTTTGCAAAGGTACTCATTTACTTGTTACAAGTTTGAGTGGTTGTAACTTTATACACTCATGTAGGGGTATCTAACATGTAAGTCCCACAAAATTTTTGTATTTTTATTTTTTTTCCTTCCTTTTTGGCTTCTTCTTTTTTTGCTCTTTTTGGACTTACTTGGCTTTGTTATGCCGCCCATACATATTGCTATTTTGACGCTTTTGATTTTTTTATACGAGCATCAAGTTGTTAGGAGATTTGTCAATATATCGATCATTGTGAGTAGTCCTCCTTGTTGGCTAAACCACGCGGCCATTCCTTTCTCGAAGAAGCGAGATATCTTATGCCGACACGTATTGTTCAAATGCTTTTTCTGCTTGAATAGCCCAAAATTCGGATTTAGGCATGTAGATATTTGGACAACGAGGCTTCTAGTCTCCTTAAAACTTCAAGTGATGATGTGAGTTTGTCAAATTGGATCATTCAACCTCCTCAATCTTCTGGCCATTAGGGCTTTGTGAGAATTTGGCTATTGTGATGTCAGCATATCGGTGGTTATGGACTTTGATTTGGATAATCAACCTCCTTTCTAGTCGAGCCTTAATTTGATTGAGGATATCGGTTATGGTGGTGACAAGCTTCTATAAGCAGCCTAGTTTCGTATCCCCGTTACACCTTTTGACTATTTAGTTCACAATATTTTATGGACACCAGTGGGGTGTTTATACTCTCAAGTTTAGTAAACTTAGCAGACTTTCAACATTAGCGGAGTGCTCAAATTCATGACACTGATAGGGTGTTTATAATCACTCAGCACCAGTGGGGTACTTATGGTTGCTTGATATGAAAATCTCGTGGCTCAACATGTAAACATGAAATGCATTTTAAGGATCCCATTTTTAGAGAAGAAAAGTTGACTTTAACGATGTGGAAGACATAATCATCATTTTGAAAAAGAATCATTGATGTAAAATCCTTGACCAAGATTGGTATAAGTCACACAATGTCTCAAATGAATGGAAATGCAAATGACATTTTATTCTTCATTATCAGAGTAAAGGTTGATACATTGATTCAACATAGTAAAGTAGCTTGAAATTTATTTGATAAAGATCAAGTCTTGAATCAAGCTTTATCTCCTTGTATGTCTGCCAACTGATCCTGGGTGTTGGCTTTTGTTGATGTTTTGACGATTGGCTTCTTCTACGAACTTCAACCATGCATCCAACTTTCACCATTTCTTGTACCCTTATGTTTAGGGTATTGAAATTTTCCACTGAGTGTCCCAGAACTCTAGAATGGTGATCACATTGTCTGTTGACTTTGTACCCTCTTGGATATTGGGTTGTAGAGTCTCACTAAAAATAGGAACGTGTAGGCATCTTCAAGGTAATTGAGGGTGAAATTTGGCATTGATTGAAGAGATAGGGTAAAATTTGATTTGTGTCTCTCCAGAGAACATTTGGTGATACTGAGGAAATTTTTTGAAAAGTTGATCGAACAATGAAGTTTGGAAGTTGTAATATTGGTATAGATGTACGACAATGGATGAGTTTGATTTTTTTTGGGGAGTGACTCCATTTTCTTCCTTTTGATGGTTCACCTTGAATGAAAATCTCTCTCTTTTCTCCAAGTTTGCCATGCTTTTTGGAGTCTTATACAATTTCCACTCTGCCGTGTTGTTGGAATAAGTTTTGACCATCGGATGACACATCATCAACTTTGATTTCTAGTGCCTTCACCCTTATTGGTTAATATATTCAAGATCATGCTAACTTCTTCTTTCATGTCTTCGAGTCCCATAACCCTTCTCTTGATGTCTTCCAATTCTTTATGGATTGACTCCATACTGGGCACAACCTTGGATTTGGTTGTGTACTCCTGAGTTTAACTTGTCTTTGTGGATGAGCAACTTTAGAGAATCCTTGAATTATTATGGTTAAATTGTGACATGTTGCTAAATGAGATGAATGAATGATAGTCATGCTAAATGAGATAAATGTAAGATAGTCGTGCTAAATGGTATGATTGTGCGTATGAAAGATTATGTTATTGTGGATGTAAGAATGTTTGTAAATTTACCTTCATGATTGGTCTTGAATGAGTGACTAATGAATTAATGAAAGATCATGACTTTCAATAAATTTTTGCAGAGCATCTACTCACGTCATTCATGAATAAACAATAAAGCACTAGTCACTATGTAATAAAGAAACATGAATCAATAACATAAACATGTCATCTTACTTAGAATAACCTAGGTTTTATGAGGTTTAGCAACAAGGTTTAAGGTAGGTTTCGGGATAAGTTTCGGAAAGTTTAAGGTGGCCTCTAGACTGACTATATGTTGGGTAAGGAGTTCTAGGATACTGGTACCCAAGTTGTATCCGTCTATAGCTCTTTCGAGCTAGCTGAATACCTCAAATCAACCTCGGATTTGAGGTCAACTTGGTTAGAAAGTTTCGCATGACTCCTACTATTGTAAGAGTCACAGTACACCTTTCATTTTCTTAAGGGAGAGCTCGGGTATAGAGCTTTTATGTATGAATGCAAATAATTAAATAAGAGGTAAATTGAAAGCACAAATATATAATAAACACCCAACACATAAAAGAAAGGTAAAGAAAGCTTATCGATTTAATTAATGAAGCTCGAGCCTCAAAGGTTCCCAGCATAGTCACCACTGTCGCAACCGCCCCTCGAGATTGGGGGACCTGTCGCGAATATGCTCGGAGTCGCCATCGACCTTAATTGTGGAAAATCAAACACCTTTTGTCCGTTTCCAACCATAGGGTCAGAACCGGGATCTGGTCTGCGAAATTTTGGAGATTGGAGTTAGGGAGTACGGTTACGTGTGGGTAAGTGTATTCACACCCCACAACGCCCCAAGATGGGTACTACTTAAATCGATAAGTTTTTAAGAGTTGGGTGTATTATTATTTGCGCCTTATTTACGTATTTAATTTTATAATTCGATTAATTAGATAGTTATTATTAAGATATGATTATGCGGTCCATTGACGTAATTCTCAAAAATTAAAGAAAGAGTTTTTGGTTAGTTGGACTCGAACCTATTGGTTGCCTATGTACCCGAGTAGTCGGGATCAAAGTCCACGTAGTTCGAAGTAATTGAAAGGTTTGATATGACCTTAATACGTTCTAATGATCGTGATTAAGATAACAATTTGAATTGTTAGGAAATGTATTTATCACATTTCAACTTAGTAGTTGAGTGGTAAGACAATTTGTAAATGGTTTCATCGAGAGTGACTATCATGGTCTATTGACCATGATTCGTGTTAAGAGATTTTCTAAGTAGAACGAGTATGTGTATGAATAATGAAGCCAAAGCAAACGTGGTAACTAATTTTTTTTTATATTTTGAAATATTTAGAGGCAGACATAATTTGGTTAAAGCAACAATGTTAGCATGATTAGTTGATACAAATATTGCGTATTAAGCTTAAAAATAAATAAATTCAGATGAGGAGATTAGAGTTCCGCGTATGATTGGATGGCTTAGTGGCTAATTGCACTGATTTGAGCCGAGTTGTGAGCTCTGGGCCTCTGGTTCGAGACTCAGTGTAGGGGCTTATTTTGGATTTTCGCTGAAGCAAACTAAGAGTGGATGCGGGTAATTAACATGGTTGTCAAACCGGGGTCCAACCGGCCGATCAAACCGGGTTTGGCCGGAACCGGACACTAAAAGGGTCAGATCCAGCCATATTTAGAGCTGGCCGGTAGTCGGTCGAAACCGGGGGAAACCGGGGTCTGACCGGACTGATCCGGCTACCGGTTTTGAGGAAGATGGCGTCGTTTTGGCTCCTCCCTCGTCGAGCCCAGCCAGCAGAGAACCCTATCTATTGCGTCGCCGTTCCCAAACCTCCTCCCTCGTCGAGACCAGCCAGCAGAGCAGAGAACACCTGCCCCAGCACAGCAGCCGCTCGCCGTTGGCGGTCCTCTCGTCACGCCACGCCGGCGCTCCAGTCGCAACTCCTCACCGCTGCAAGCCTCGTGGAGTTTGAGGGCGTGAAGCAAAGACACGGGGAACGCCCCGGTTCCGATGAAGAAGAGCCTCGGGATGCAGAGTCTGCCGGCGGTCTCTGTAGCCCAGGTGAAGAAGACGTCGGCGACGATGCAATCCGGCCGCCACTGCCGGAGGAGATCCTCGACAGGGCGCTGGAAAACGACCATGGACTTGAAGAACGGGATCGTGAGCTCGGGGGATTTGATGGCGTTGACGTTCTCGCAACCTTCCGGCAGCCCTGCCTCTGCACAGGGGAATTCGATAATGTGGGTTTCGATTGGAAGACCCAATTGGGCGTCGCGGCGGATCTTGCCGGAGAAGAGACGGGCGTTGAGGGGAGTGGTGATGATCCTTGACTTGACGCCGCGTCGGGCGAAGAGCCTCTCCATGTCTGTGATTGGGATCATGTGGCCTTGAGCCATGAAAAGGAGGAAGATGACATGGAGCGGAGGTGGATCCATTGAATTTGGACCTGGAGAAAGGGCAGTGAAAACTTGAATGAAGTGGGGGTGAGGAGGGTGGAAAAACCGGCTTAACCCGATTGAACCCCGTTCCAACCATTAAACCCCAAACCCCTTGTCAAACCGGCCGAATGACTTAACCCGGTTTGACAACCTTGGTAATTAATCAAAAATCACGAGGGTAATTTTGAATTTTTGCGCTCGAGGGTATATTTACCTGTTTGGAGAAGCCCTAGCCTCCCTATTCTCATTTTAGCCGCTCACTTCCCTTCTCTCTCTCATTCTCTCTCGTCCCTGTCTGAAACCAAACGAAAAAAAGAGCAGAAGAAAGGAGAGGAAATCCATCCCATCTCCCTCACCTCTTCATATTCTAAATTTCCATACCTTCCTCATCTCGATCCATCCCGATCTTCCCTCTTATTCTCACTTCCGTTCTGGTAGCAAGAGGAGAAGGGTAGAAAAGAAAGAGGAGAGCGACGACAAGAAGCGGCGGTGATTTACGCCGCCGTTGAGGATAGCGGCAGCGGGAAAAGGTAGGAGGTTAATTTTGGCTTGCATGTCGGGTTTGAGGGTTTTATTTGGTTGTTTCTATTTCTGATTGTATTTTTTGGGTTTCTATTTTTCCTGGGTTTGATCGAGGGAAATGAAGGGAGAATGGAGGTGAGAAGCGAACGAGTAGCAGTGGAAAGCAAGTATTGTCTGCAGTCGTCCTAGCCGGCGATCGTTGGTGACAGAGTAGCAAGGTGGGGGGAAACGCCGGCGGCTCCGCGTTTCGCCGGTGACAAGTAGTGCAACGGCTAATGCGGTAAAGTGGTGTGTTTTCTCTTTGACGATTGATAGTTCTGAACTCAGGGGTTGTTTTTTAATTGAGTCGATTTGGTAGGGGATTGGTTTAGAACTCAGTTTCAGTATTTGACACGTTCGGTGACTCGCTAGTTTTGTCCCTGTTTGTTATTTTTTATTTTGATAATTATTATTTCGTGCAGGGTTTGAAAGGAGGATGATTCAGGTAATATCCTCTTGAACTCGGTTGAGTGATATTAAGAAGTTTAAAAAACATCACAAGAGGCTCATTAGTTAGCTAGATCACTGTTATTGCTTGTGATCATAGCTTTAAGCCGTGCTTTCAACTCTTATTAGAGAAACTAGAATAGCTATCTCATAATAATCCCCACCACTTATTGAGATTTAATAATCTAAGAAGAAAGACTTCCAACCATCTATATTTTGCTGTTTTATTAACTGAACATTGAAATTGATTTGGATGCTTCGGATGGACTTGGGCCTTGTTTTTGTGATTCAGGAACTCTGGAATTTTTTTGTGGTATGATTGAGTTGTTGGTAATCGATGAATTGAGGGGTGGATGAGCTCAAATATGTTTTTTTTATGTTTTGTGGGTGAATTTGTTTTTTTGGAAAATTTGACTGGTGTTTATGGTAATCTTTCTGGGTTTTGAGTTTCATGGTGTCAAAACTCAGACTTGATCAAGTGGGTTTTAACTTATTTGTGTTGGGGTTCATATGGGGTTTTGTGAATCTGGGGTTGTTTTGAAAACTGGGACTTGTGAGTGGGTGTTATGGTTTATGGGTCTGTCGAAAAGAGGGAGAGGGTTTTGAAGTAGATGAGGTATTAAAATGCCTTCATAAGCTGAGTTTTGTTTTGATTATTACCATATAGAGAATCCGTGTTTTATTAGCCATAGATTTTAGATAGGAAACTAGTAACTAAAGCGTATAATAGTAAGAGGGTGAAGAGAAAGAAAGCTAAAGCCACAGTTCCAAATAAATATAATGATCTGAACACATCAACAGAAAAGCATCACCATCTTTATTTTAAAAAACTCAAATTCGAGCATATGCATATGTTTTTTATAGAAATAGCCAACTATATTTGCTTGGAATGGTTTCACAGAAATAAGTTTGCGATTGTATGAAAATGGATGATTTATGCTTTGGTCGGGACCAACCTTTTCCTTTTACTTGGTGAGAGCGTTGACCTTTGATGAAGTGATTCTTTATTTGCTTATGTTTCCTTTTTCCTTTGCAGCGGCTGGACTCCACTTGTAGTAGTAGGGAACCCTCTTGTAGTGGACTCTTTTTGTAAGTAGTAGGTCTACCAGTTTATTCTCTTTCTCTATGTTGGGTATTTTTTGTCTAGTAGAACGTGAAGAAAGGCAGGAGAAGAGGAAAAGGAAGAAGAAGATGATGATGAGTGGCTTTGGTGTTTTCTATATGTAAGAAAATCGGAGGAGTGGAGTCTGATTCTTGCTCTTTCTTGGTATTGTACGCAAACTCTCTTTATTACAACCATTGAGACACTTCCTCGAACTCTACCATTTATTATAACTTCCAATGAAAGTTTTACTTGCTTGTCTATACTCGGTTGGTCGAATGACTTACTGCTACAGCTGGTTCCGAGACTCCAACTCTTAGCCCCCTAGTTCCAACTTATACGGAGGTTCCTCCTTCTGTCACCTATTAGGTACCCTAAGTGGTTAGGTTAACCTTCCTTTAAAAATAGAACAACCCCCGACAGGTCAAGACATGTCGAGCTCATGGCTTTTCTTATAAGAGTTCTTGGATTCCCCCCTTCAGCGGTCCAACGATGTTCCTTACATTCCTCTGTTTCTTCCCTTACTTGATCATGATAATTTGCAGGGTCTATGAACCCCTTCTCATTAATTGTCCTCTAGCTTGCGCTTGGTAGGTGTATAGCGTGCTTGACTCAACCTCGTCATCTACCTCATTTATCTCGTTGCTTGTCTTGTCCCTTCTAAAGGCTTGTCATTGGCCTAGTAGAAAAATCCTTGTAGTGTTCCTTCAACTCCTCCTAATCATCGTACTTACACCACGGGGTATCCCTTTGCGATAGGCACATCTTATAGTAGGACTAGAGGTATTTACCTTAGTACGATTAGAGTAGACTGAAGATTCTATAAATTCTTAAAGGAATATCCTTGACTCGTTTTTCCTTTCCTTAAAAAAAAGTCTTTAAAAACCAAGACCGATATTTCAGTATTCCTTGGAGACCAAGGAACAGAGGAAGACAAGCTCTGATACCAAAACGTAACACCCTAACCCGGCTAGGTACTATTTTTACTAAATGCCCTTGATAAATAAAATACTCAAATCTTAAATTGCATAGGGAAAAATTTTACTAAATAAAATACTGAAAACACACTTGTAGTTCAAAGCAACGCCCTAACACATGGGCAAACTCAATACTTAAAATCTCAAAATGATCTCCAGTCTATACTCATAATCATAAATGTAAATAAATAATAATCTCAAATGTTGTTGCTACTGCAACGTTTATTCATCCCCATACACTCTCATCTATGCAATGAAGAACAAGCATGCAAAGTCCAGCTGAAGATCGCGGCGAAGAAGCCATAGATCACGACCGCAATCTTGGAGTCTCAGGATGCAAACTTTGCGAGGAAGGAGCCTTCTGATGAGGACATCAATGGGCCAGTCACACGTGCTAAGGCAAGGACGTTGAAGGAGAAGTTTGCGACATATTTGGAGAGCTACTTTGGAGCCATGGACGTGGAGCTATTTTGAGGGAAGCCATATATGATGATTCGAGTGGAGGAAGAAGGAGGAAGTGCTGAAGAGAAGGCAGATTTAAAGAAGTAGCCTTAACAAGTTTGCTTAATGGGTCCATCCTTAACGCGTTTACTTAATGGGTCCAGGCTTAATGCTTTACGCTTAACGGGTTTGCTGGGTTGTTTTCGAGTTTCCATATTTTAAAGTCAGTTTATGATTGTTTTTCCATGTTGGAGTCGGATTTGGGTTGTACTTTGCCTATTTAAACGGCTGAACACATTGGTTTGCCCTTAGACCAATATTATTGAATTACAGAGGTTATTGCCGAGTTCCCTACGCGTAATTTGCCCTAATTACTCTATCAAGAATCTCCAGAGTGCTACAACGACTCTTATCAACTAGGTATTCACCCTACTTATGGCGAGCTACCCATATCGATTGCCCTTTATTTCGAGTTGAATATGTCCGATCGATTCATATATCGATTGCCCTTATTCACGAGTGAGTATTGTCCGATCGATTTCCATCCTATCTGGTTCTGTTTGGCTCAAGAAGCTTGACACTGCGCTACTTTGATTATATAAAGTGGTATCAGAGCGAATGTTACACACCGCTCTTCCCAAAACTCAAAATGACTATTATACCCGTGGGTCAAGTTCCACCGTATTATCGACGTGGATTAAAAATGTGAACTAATAGTTTAAACGGTGTCCGAGTTTCGACATGAAGTGAGAAAATTAGGGACGTTAATTGATTTTCGGATTAAACTCACCCGTAATTATTAAATTCCAAAAATACCCTTTGACTAATTAAACCCTAGACCCCTTTACTTAACCCCACTCGGCCTCACCATAAAACCCTCACAGCCTTTTCTCCACCGAAAGCAACTTTCTCTCGGGAAATCACAGCAAAGCGGCGTCCAAGGGGAGACAAAGCATCATCATTCCCTCCACTACGAGAGATGCTTGCTTAACCAAGCTCGTCTCATCATTGCTATGTGGCGATTGAGGACTTGCTCTCGGGAAGAAACAAATCAAAAGTGGCGGCATCAGCGGATCTGCTGGCGCCGAACCGGTGCTACTACGAGAGCAGCTTGCTTGTGTATGTGGCGCGGTTAAGGAGACAAGTGTGGCGGCAATTTCTAGGACGAGAGCTGCCTGCTTCAATGGGCGAGAGCTGCCTGCTCCACCTTCGAGACCTGCTTGCTTGGGATAATGGCAGCGTGATTGCTGGGCTCCTCTCTGCTGTGTCAGCTGCCTAAGCACGCAGCAGCCCAAGACGATTGAGACGTAGCTGCGGATAATGGCAGTGTGATTGTTGGGCTCGTCTCTACTATGTCAGCTGCCTAGGCAAGCAGCAGGCAAGGACGATTGAGACGTAACATTGATTGAATTGGAGGTGTCTGCTACCGAAAGAGAGAATTAGTCTAAGGGCAGCTCAAAACCAGCCCA